CCCCCCCCGGTCCTCCACCAGGCAGAGCAGCTGAGGCAGCACTACATGACCAAGTCCAACCAGGAGGTTTCCGACGCCCAACAGGCCCTGCAGCCCGTCCTGCAGAACATCAGCGAGCTGAAGGGCAAGGTGGGTGTAGCCGGGGGCGGGGACTACATCATCATCATCATCATCATCATCATCATCATCATCATCATCGTTTATGAAGTGCTTTCCCTTAGCTGGTACCCAAATTATAATCTAGTAACAGCTAAAAATATTAATCTAGTAACGGTTTATTTTAACTTGGTCGTCCAAGTGAGTTACTGGTTAAAAATTCTGTTAGACCGTTTGACCTTGATTTAATTTGTCGAGACAGAACGTTGGATTTAGCTACCGGTATCGCACCTGTGTTTGTGCTGCAGGTAGATCTGAAGTCCCCCTGGTGGCTGGACGTGGTACAGCAGGCCATCCGCTACAACATCGACGATGACCTGGTGCTGCGCATCCAGAATGAGCTGACCTGCAGTTACAAGCAGGAGCCCAGCAAGCTGTCCTTAGCGGACAAGTGAGTCGAGCTCTGAGAGCAGCCAGGCAGATGGCAGGGTGGAAGGTGCCGGTAATGCTGCCTCCCTCACCTCCTTCCCGTTCCTGACTATTACAGACATTGTAGTAATTATAGGCAGCTCTTGATTTACGTAAAACTGACTTACATAAATCTGGACTTACACAAGAAATATACGAGACACATAGTTTGCGGAGGCGCTAATGCAAAATAGCACAGCATATGCTTGTAAGTACATTCATAGTGAATTTACAGTATTTAAATGTCGTTTCATGTATTTTATATGTGGTCCTTAGTATGTCTTAGTAGTATATTTTTGGCTTATGAATTATTTGCTATTTGTGTCTTGAATGGTAAACCCGAAAAATGTAACTTTATGTAAGGGTCTGTGGCATGGATTAATTACACGTCAGTTGAGAACAGCCTGTTATTATCAGCGATTTATATAGCTAATTAAAATGGAAACATGTAGCTTTGTGGCTTCATTTGCCGTGTCATGGAGAAGTTATAATTTCTAAGCTTTAGTACCTTTTAAATGAGGTGTTTTGTTAGCCTTGTTCAGCTAATTGTCCACCAGAATAATTGTGTAAAATTGTGTCGTAACTTTGCAACTTTTGTTTATTGGTTTCCTTAAATAACAATAAAAATAGCTACGTTCCATACCCGACCGCATACCCACGTGCCGCTGTACTCATCCATCCCCTCAGGTTCCGGGACGGTCGCGGCCTGCAGTTCCTGCTCACCACTCAGATGGACGACCTGATCAAGTCCCAGAAGACGGTGCAGGACGCCGTGAAGAAACTGGAGGGCCCGCCGTCTAAGGAGGTCATCGAGGAGGCCACCATCTGTCACCTGAGACCAGTGCGGCTGCCACTTAACAAGTGAGTGCTGGTCTCGGGGCGCCGAAACGTCGCTTATGTTCCTGCCCTCTGGTTACACTCATGCAACATCTGAACAGCAGAGTTAATTACCTGTCAGTCGCCAGCTGGTTTACTTAAGGGGCGTAGCTAGAAATTCTAGGCTCACCTTGGGCCCCAGGCTAGGGATGACACTTTCAATCTGAAGAAATATGGGTCTCCCACAGTGCATAGAATTCGTTGACATCCAAGACAATGGTATCCATGGTCCCCACAGAGCGGAGGCATAATTTTCAGGGCCCCTATAAAGTGCTGGACCCCCGAGTTTGCCAGGGTATCCATGTCCATCTGACGCCCCTGGGTTTAACCCAGTTAGGACTGATGGGTTGACCCCATTGGCTGGTTAAAGGGTTTGCGACCTGTGATGTGACTGTTTATAGGACTGTGGGAAAGCCTGTGCAGAGTCATGTGACACAGGGATACAGATTCAGCCCTCATACGGAGGATTTTCCTTTTCGGGGCATTCGGGAGATGGACAGAAAAGAGGGGCGGGGGCTTTGCAACAAAACACTTTTCTGGATAAACAAATGAAAGGCCTCCATTTTCGGCAGAGGGCAAGACAACTTTTTTTGGCTAACTCAGAATTCTCGGGATCTCATGAACATCAGTTCAGCCGCACAGAACCAGTTCATTGCATTCTGGGGAATTAAAAAAAAAATAACAAGATAAGGTTATATAAATAAAAAGGAATAAAGATGAAGTGAAACAATCCAGGACAAAGAGAGGGGGTCACTTGACTTCCCTCTTACACCATCCTGACAAATACACATGTTTCTGAAATGTTTTAACAAGGCAAACAGTCAAGTCAAAGGGCTTCATTCATGCTGTCTTAATTCCATGATCGTCTGTGTTAGCATGTATAGTACTTTAAATAATGGACATTCAAGCTGCACAAAGATATTTACGTTGTTTTGGAAGCTGAGATTCACAGAAGGTCAAGTGTGGTGACGTAAAGTGAGGAGAGTTTAGGGTCAGAAAGCATCCAGCGTCCCAGGAGCAGCTGAGATTAAGGGCCTTTTGCAGTGTTTGTTCGCTGAAAATAAGAGCCTCTCTTCCTCTAAAACATAAGAAATTTACAAACGAGAGGAGGCCATTTGGCCCATCAAGCTCATTTGGGGAGAACTTAACTAATAGCCCAGAGTGCTATTTAGCTACGCTAGCAGGAAGACTATTCCATACTCCAACTACACGCTATGTAAAGAAGTGCTCCCTCAAACTTCTCTCAGTGTAAGTTTTTTTTTTGTTTGTTGGTGGATTTTTATAATTAACACACAGTATAACAACAATGGGCAACACCATTAATTACTGATGGCACCCAAATCCATTTAGTGAGCCACATCATGAGCTTTGCCCTTACTCCACAGCCACCCCTTCCCTTATCACACCTTCAAACGTTAAGTGGGACAGTGAGGGTGTCGGAACTGTAAGAAAAACAAATTAGCAAAAAGTATGAAAAATAACACTGCAACAAACAAACGACTGGTGTTTAAAGTTGAATGAAAGTTGCCCGGTGTTAATCTAATGGGGAAAACGTGTCACTTCCTTTCGTTTCAGCTGTGTGTTTTGCAAAGCGGACGAACTATTCACGGACTACGAGTCCAAGCTGTTTTCTCACACGTGAGTATGCCAATGCTGGAGAATTGCCACGCAGAAACATGAAGATGCACGACACGGTTGTCTCTGTATGGAGAGGGCTTGCAGACGAACATGTAGACGAACACACAGAGGAATGTGCAGACGAACATTTATTTTATTGGGTAAATATAGTGGTGTTTTCTGCCATTAATAGTAATGTACGACACTATACATCCATACAGGAATGAGGGGAATGGCTTGAAAGGGATGCTTGTTCATCACAGGACACACACATGGTCACATATTATGTACAATCAGACCAGCGTTCTCCAATCTCATTTACAGTGAGAGGTACTTCTACAATGAAGATAATCTGAGAGCTTGTATGTGTTTGATGTAGTACAGGATGATATCAGGATTATATCAGTCGGGTGGGGTGTTGCAAAGGTATGAGCTGTCGACCTTGGGGGGGGGAGGGGGGGGTGATGATGATTAAATGCCCCAGTATACATGTGTACAAGCAAAAAAATAACGAAAAACCTATTAGAATTAGTCCTATTTTTAAAGACTGCTATAGGAGAAACTCTTTGTTCTTTGTTTGTAGCTCAGCAGTGATGGCCAAATGGTTAGGGAAGCACACTTGTGGTCAAAAGGTTGCTGGTTCAAATCCCTGACCAGCAAGCTACCACTGAGATACCGCCCCATGCACTGAATTAGCTGCCCCCTGCTATGTCGCAACGTTACATATGGATGCATTTCGTTGTTGTGTGCTGTGGTGTGACAACAATCACTTTAAACTAGAGTACTGCAGTAATCGTTTGCAGGTATTGGGTTCAAATCTCAGCATGTTACGTTTCTCTCTGATTTAAGTCACTTTGAATAAACAAATAAATGAATCTGCTCTTCGGCTGCCTATGAGTAGTGAACGACATGTTGGTGACCGTTCATCTAGCGTCATCGGTTTACCTGACTGCTCTACTAACAGCTGCTGTACAGTAGGAGTGTTTTTTGCATATTCGAGGTGCAATGAAAACACCCCAAATCTCCCTCGCCGCACCTCAGTGTGAAGGGCCAGACAGCCATCTTCGAGGAGATGATCGAGGATGAGGAGGGCCTCGTGGACGACCGGCTGCCCACTACCAGCCGCGGCCTGTGGGCGGCCAGCGAGACAGAGCGCTCCCTGAAAGCCATCCTGTCCTTCGCCAAGGCCCGTCGCATGGATCCCACGCTGCTGGAGGAGGGCACCACCTTCATGGAGCTCTTCGAGGCGTGGAAGAAGGAGTACAAGGTATGCAGCCGTGCATTGTGGGTAATATTTTCCACTTTGATTTTTCTGACGGACCTATAGGAAAATATAGGCAGTTGCTTAGCAGGTCATTTCACTTCACTTGCAAAACTTATTGAGATAGATTTACACTTCATTCATATGTTTACATGATTAGTAAAAGTTACTAATAGTTATGAAGCAAACGTTAAACTAAGCTGCTACCTAATAAGGTTTCGGTTCAGCTGCCTTGTTCAGAGGTATGAAGACTGAGCCCCAGATTAGCATTTAGCTGTAGAGAAATCACATTTGTCTTCCGGCCGGTGGGTCGGCAGCTACTGCACGAGTACTGGATGGTGCTTCGGGACCACGTGTCGGCCATTGACGAGCTGGGCATGGCCACGGAGCGGCTGCGGGTTCGACACCCGGACGAGCCCAAGGCCAAGGTGCTGCACATCATCGAGCCGCACGAGGTGAGTGGGCGTCCGGGGTGGTCCTGCCCCCACACCAAAAAATAATAATTACAGATTATCAGTTTGTATTCTATCTGGGTCTTAATTTCAGGATTTTTCCCCCAATTTTTCTGAGGGATTCCATAATGTGGAACAACTTGTAATTAACTGATGAAATCAAGTATGTGTGTGCAATAGGCTCAAGATTTAAGATTATTTATTGGCCTTTTGCACTTCAGTACAGGGGAATTCACAACTGAAGCATTCATTCGGTGACACAGAACAGCACACAGGATTAAACACAAAACAGGTCACTCGCAAAAATTAACAGCCCCTCCAAAATCCTTCTGATTTTTTTTTATGGGCGTATGTCTGTCTTGAAGTTTTGTGTGGTTGTGACATCATTGCCTTTTTATTGTTGTTTTTTAAAAATAATTGTTAGGTGGAGCAGAACCGAGTGAAACTCTTAAATGACCGGGCAGTGGCCAAATCCCAGCTGCAGAANCACAAAACAGGTCACTCGCAAAAATTAACAGACCCTCCAAAATCCCTTTTTTTTTATGGGCGTATGTCTGTCTTGAAGTTTTGTGTGGTTGTGACCACATTTATTTTTTATTGTTGTTTTTTAAAAATAATTGTTAGGTGGAGCAGAACCGAGTGAAACTCTTAAATGACCGGGCAGTGGCCAAATCCCAGCTGCAGAAGAAACTCGGCCAGTTCCTGTACCTCACAAATCTCGAGAAGGTAAACCTGCGACGGCCCGCTTTCGGCTAATCTCGGAAACGATCCTCTCATTTTTCCTCGGTATCGTCAGTGCATTTTGCTCTGGCCACAGCTCATGCCTGTTCTGTTCTTGAACACCAATTTACAGTCCCAGGACAAATCCACGGGGGGCTTGAACCCAGAACCGTGCCCCATCTGTGCCCGGCCGCTTGGACGAGAGGTGAGCCCGTCCGCCGGCTCCACGCCGCTCGCTTGGGATCGCGTTAAATCGCAGGGCCTCGTCACCCCGACCGGCTGCCAGAGACCTCACTGTGTACTGGGGCCATCTGCTGCCGAGACCTGCCTCGCTCCCTGGATTTGAGAAGGAAAACAAAGCCAATGTCTGTTCCCTGTTACGGATGTTTTTACATTAATTTATTTAGCAGGTCCTTTTATCCAAAACGACACAATTGAGAGAGCAGGGTTAGGTAGTCACTGCCCGGCGCTGAAATCATTCTGCCATCCATGGGATTTGAACCGGTGACCTTCTGATCACGGGCACAGAGTCCAAACCACCCGAGCCACATACCCCCATTTAAATCCATTTAAATTCAAATCAGAATCACCCAATGCTGTAGGTACTTGTCCTATTGACCCTTATCTTGTTAAACGAGACAGCTCTGGGAGCGAAACACCCGATCCCTGTCTGAAGGATGTAATGAGGAAGAAAATAATTCTTTAACAGTTACCCTGCCTGTCAGGGCTCCGCAAAACCTAATGACTATTCCAGAATAATCTGCCCAAAAATGGAAGAGATTAAATCTTTATGGATGCATATTTCACTACGTTGTTAAACTCCTCTCCTGACATTTACATAAGCATCCATAAAGACTGCAGATTTTATGAGTGCTTGTGGTTGCTTTTTTATAAATAGTTAAGCGAAGGATGCAATAGCAGTTTTCATGACGGAATTGAGGGTTTGGTGCTTTTTTTAGCTACTGGCCTCGTGCAGTGTAGCTATAAATTATCGGGTCTGGTCCGTGACTGTTTCCCCGCCACTGTGCCAGTGGGCCGTGCTGACCTGCGGCCACTGCTTCTGTAACGAGTGCATCGCCATCATCCTGGAGCAATACAGCGTGGGCACGCGGCGGCGGGCCATCAAGTGCGCCATCTGCAGGCAGACCACGTCCCACACGGAGATCTCCTACGTTTTCACCACCCAGGCGGCCAGCCAAGGACACGACATCCCTGTCAGAGTGAGGCTGCCTTCCCGTTTTCGAGGTTCAGCTGTTGTTAGCTTTTATAGCTATTGATTTATTGATGCAGTTTGACACACATATAAGAGGAACTTTATTCATCCCAGAGGGAAATTCTGGTGCATGCAGTTTGGGTACACAGAGTGCAAACCAACAAACATGCAGTGTAAAACAAGACAAAGTGCCAAGACAATACACAGTTTGTGGGAGTTTTACTTACAAAAAAAGTGTTCTGAGGGTAGAATGAAAAATGATTCGTTCAGAGAGAGAACCAGTCAGGTGGGTCCATTCAACTAGAGGAGGCGGGAGCAAGCCATCTGATTAGTTGGTCCCGCCTCCTCTAGTTGCTTGGACCAACCATTTGTACAATCAGATAGCACCGGATGTTTACTACGGCAAAGACTGGATATATCGTATCAAAAACATAAATTGTTTTTGAGATTGATTAGAGGTACAGTAGCTGATTTCAAATTAAGCCCCATACAAACTTTCCAACTTGTTTTTAAGTAAAATTGTGATTAATAAATGTCTTTTTCATGTTCAGGAAAATGCACCTGAATGTGGGGCAGGGATGCTGTAATTACTTCTGATTAATTATAGCAGCTGATTGCAGTTTGAATCTTTTTTTTTTTTTTCTTTTCCAAGCGTCCTGAGCCATTAGTGTGTTTTAAGTGCAGTAAGGCTTGTTAAGGCAGGTTTTTAAGGTGGTACTATGAAAAATGTTCTAGTGCTATCTGTGTTCCTGTCATCCTGACCTCAGGGAAGTCACTCTACCAAGGTAGAAGCAGTAGTGAGGACCTTAAAGAAGATCCAGATGGCCGATCCGGCTGCCAAAGCGCTCGTGTTTTCCACGGTGAATTCCATCCCAAGCTGCCACCTCCACGCACGACTGAACCCAACCTGTTAAAGCGGAAATGTCACACCCGCTTTTCCACACGTGCGACAGAATTTAACGTGATGTGCTGTCGGGTGATGCTGACCAGTGTTTCGCGTGTGATTTTCAGTGGCAGGGTGTCCTGGATATCATCGCACAAGCCCTCTTCGACAATAACATGGAGTTCTCACAGATTAATGGGATTCATAAGTTCCAGGTCAGTTTTTATATATTTTGATATATATATATATATATATAATAAATCTGACTATGAGCCTGCCAGCATGATCTCACTATTTGGATTGTCTTCCGAAAGAGAAATGAACAAAAAATTCCAATCACTTCTTGTTCTCTGTGCTTGCCATTCTTAATCAGTGTTAATCAATATATCACATTTAAATTCACGTCATCATAGGTTATTCATTAGAATTCAAAAACGGCAATGATGTATCTTTGGCATTGAATCTTTTCTTCTCTGGGAGAGGCTCGAGACTGTCTGTCTGTGACCCTGCTTCCGGAAGATGGATGGATCATTGCGTCTTGGTTTCGCCCCTCCAGGAGAACCTTTCCTCTTTCAAGTACGACGAGAAGATCAACATCCTGCTGCTGCCACTGCACACGGGCTCCAACGGGCTGAACATCATCGAGGCTACGCACGTCCTGCTGGTGGAGCCCATCCTGAACCCCGCCCATGAGCTGCAGGCCATCGGCAGGGTGCATCGGATCGGCCAGACCAAGCAAGTCCCAGCTTCAGACCTTCCTCCATAAACCTCGCTGATCAGCATCACGCTAAGATCAGACCTTAACACTGAATCCTCTCCAGCTAGATTTTCTATAGGAGGAGCCATGTTCTTAGTGATCGTCTTCAGACCCTGTATATCTATATATTTTAGGCTTCCTTGCTGTGACCATCTGATAGTTGAGTCGTTTAACCTCCATGCCATTTCTACTCTGATGGCTCTTCGCTAACAGACTCTTTCTCACGTCACCAGGCCGACTTTTGTCCACCGGTTCCTGATTAAATCCACCATAGAAGAAAGGATGCAGACCATGTTGAAAACAGCAGAAAAAAGGTGATTTTTATTTCATAGTATAGTTCTTGAGCAAAACAGAGGATGTAATTTATTAATGTTTTTGATTTGATGTGTTCAGAGTCCATTCTGTCCATTTTCCATAACCTCATATGTAAAAGCTGCCTCGTAGAGAAACAGGGTACGAGGCAGGGAGCGGCCTGGATGGGATGCTGGTCAAAATAAGGACGCACACGCACGCCTGTACTCATACCTTTATGGGGACCATCCATTCATTTCTATGGGCAGAACCCTAACCCCATAATGAAACCCTTAACCCCTACCCAGCCCTAACCTTAACCACAAGTAACCAAACACAAGACTTTTGCCATTTTTACTTTTTTTTTATTACGTTCACAAATTTTTATAAAATTAAGTTTCCAAAAAAAATGTCCCCACAATGTGAAAATAACACGTTTTTATCACATTGTGTATTTGGTAGAGTAACTAGAGAACCCTGAAAACCCCACTTGAGCATGAAGTAACCCACACTGCATCACAGGCTGCGTTACATACTGCATGAAATGCTGTGTCACACTGTGATCCACACTGCATCACAGACTGCATTACATACTGCATGAAATGCTGTGTCACACTGTGATCCGCACTCCATCCCACACCGCATCACACTACGAATTACATACTGCATCACACACTGCATCGCACAGTGATGCACACTGCATCACACACTGTTACACACTGAGTCACTGTCTAAACCCTTGGAAGGACCAAATCTCTTAAAACCACCTAAAAACACAGCATCCTGTTAGACTAGGTCCCGTTTTGATGGATACTCAAGATCCCCAGACGTCGCTGTTACAGACGGGTGACTGGTTACAGCAGTGGCATCTGAGCAGAGCCAGACACATCAGTTCTGATTTGGGAACTGCTTGTAACAGCTGTGTTTCCACCAGTCACAGCACCTCCGCCGCCATGAAGCACTCGGAGGCATCGGTGCTGACGGTGGCGGACCTGGCGGACCTGTTCACTGAGGACCATGAAGCCATGGAGTGACAGGTCGGGCCAGCAGGCCCCAGGCACAGGCGGGGACATTACGGTGGCCACGGAGGACCAATCGGCACACAGTGTGGTTTGTCCCCATTTATAAATGTGCACTTTGAGATGTGGGTGGTCATACTACACTGTTCTTCATATTCAGGGTTTCAAATTGTTTTTCTAGGCTAGCACTTAAATGTCCTGTACATAGGAAGATGCGTTTAGAAAATACCAGTACCTATCTCGTGACATGTTAATATTCAGCAGTAAGTCACTTTTCAGGGAAGAACCTCATTTCTGAAGAAGTGTATTTAAAAAAGACTCACTTTTCAGTCACATTCCAATCTTGCTTTTGCTTTTCAGCCCTGTCTAGTTATAGTCTAATTATATATTTTCAGTCATATTGGTAGCAGAATTCAGTTTTTAGCCTTAATTGAAGGTATGGGAGCCAGCTTAATTTACCATTGATGATATCCCTGCATAATGTTTCAGAAAAGCATTAGCAGAATCTGCAGAGGGTCATCCTTTAAGTAAGAGCTGGTTTACTTTGAAAGATTCAAAATATCTAAATTAGTTTTTTTCAGGGCATTTTTTGTCAGTATTACTATTTTCTAATTGGCTGCTGTGTTTTATTTTTAATTGGGTACGTTTTTTAAATAAAAAAAAAAATTTAAAAATCCATAATTATAAGGCCCCTTCTTTTTAATGGAAAAGCACTACATTTTTCCAAGACTTGTTCTCAAGAGAAATGTTGATTTTTTTGCTCCCTGTTGAAATTTCTCCAGTGCGAATGTTGTAAAGGGGCCATTTTCTGGCTGTAAAAGTTCCATTTCGCCTTTATCATGCGACAGAGACGCTGGGCTTCTGGGATGTGCGCTTGTTTTCCATCTGGCGAGGTCCTTTAAACGTGCCGTCTGGCCGCGAGCCAGAGGCAGGCTATCGAGTCAGACTTTACAGCTCGTTTTATTCGCAAAACAAAAACAGGCAGAGCCAGTCAGTGCCCATAAACCGCATCGCACATCCCATAAGAGGGCACTTTAAAACAGCACAAAAAAACGCAGGGGGGCCCAAACTCATCAA